CATGTGCTCTGCCCGAAGGCCAACGCCTCACCTGCTCTTACATGTCAAGAAATCTTTTAAGTATCAAATAGTTGCAGTGTGCACTTTATAAAAAGGCTAATTGTTATCTTTTATGTTATTGTTACAGAGATATCTCAAATTAAGCAGGCTTCGGTTTGACAAAAGAAAAAAGTTTCAAGTCATAATCAAGACTTGAGTGACAGGTACAGACGCTGAAATGAATATATTCACATTGACAGTGATATATAGTAACATTTGAGTCTGTGTGACATTTGAGTAAAGCAGCACTCAGACTGATACTAATTTAAACTCACCTTGGTTATCAATGATGTTCCTCAGGACAAATGAGGCTCCCAGCCCCTTCCCGCCCCTCTGGATACAGATACCGACAAAACGATTACTTTTCCCACTGGCGTTAGGGTCGCCCATGGTCACTGCCAGGATGCTCCCTGAACACATTCAAATCAGCGACATCATTTAGATTAGAATCATTAAAACATCTTTGAAGAAATACAGCTTATATCTGCTGAGTTAATTACAAAATAATCTGTAAAGATGTAATATTGTAGCAAATGATTTACAAGCAACAGTTAGTGCTGTGATTTTTTTTTCGTATTTACATGTTTTATTCTACACAATACAAACAGGATGCAAAGCATCTCATTGTGTTGCTGATATGAGCGTACCCATGTCACGTTGAGTTTCAATATCGGTGCCAGGTGTTGTTGAACATAAAAGCCTGAGCATGAAACGGTGCCTTTCCTGCCGGCAGTCTCCTTTAGTTTATCGTGCAAGACTCTATTCTTACTAGTATGTATGCCTGTAGACAAACATGATTTCATAACAGAATTCTTTTAAATATAATACTATTCTGTAAATGATCATATACTGAGGAACATTTCGGAGAAAGAAAGTGGGTCTTGAGAAGGCTCTAAACACTGCTCAGAATGTGTGAGATCCTAAGACTGGAGTTTACACAACTCAGCGGCCCAGATTGTAAATGCAGAGATCTCCAACTGATATCTGTCTGATCATAACTTAATCAGGTATTGGTGACAATGGAGCTGAGCCTTTGATGACCATTCGATAGAGTACTTTGTTGTGTAGGTCATGTCACAGACATAAACAAGGAGGTCTGCATGATGGGAGCCGATGCATCCACTATTTCAGGATTTTTTTTTTTAATACTTAGTGAACGATCCAGTTTCACTGCTACTTACCATGTCTGCATAGTTGTTACATTTGCCAAAGTCGGAAATCAATATTAATTTCAAGCCTTACACTATATAGCCTGATCGAGGGGCGATTTGAGGATTACAATTTTAGGGTCCTCAGCTCCTGAAGAGATCGTGACATGAAGTTCTGTTCAAGTGTTTCATGCTCCTGATAAAAACACTCAACCAGCATCATTAGGATTTTGTCAGATTTCAAAAAGCTGGTGGTGCATTTTCCTCTGATATTTCAAGTGTGCTGAGATTAAATTAAAGGTGCTTTAGCACTGATCCCAGTCCCTGCACACTGAGGCACACAACTTGTAAATAAAGTACTGGTATCTAAACTTTTTTCTAAAAGTCAGATCTCTACATCCCTAGGCAAAGTAACAAAGTTAAGCAAAGGTGTGAGAACTACTTTTTTTCTAAAAAAAAAAAAAAAAGCACAAACAGAGGAGCTCAGGCTGCGTTTCGGATCAATTGCGGTTAGTAAGTCAATGATAATCAATCATTTTTTATTTGTATAGCGTCAACTCATAACAAGTGTTATCTCGAGACACTTTACAAAAAGCAAGTAAAAGACCTTACTCTTTGTCTGTTACTTATTGCTATGTTACAAAGATCCGGCCTATCCATCATGAACACTTTAGCAAAGCAGCAAAAGTTACAGTGGTAAGAAAAAAACTGCTTTATTAAAGGGCAGAAATCTTCGGCCGGATCCCCGGCTCATGACAAAACAGCCTTCACAGGCCTAGACTGCGCCGGGCTTGGAAAGGGATAGAGGGAGAGATGGGATAAGATGCAGGAAGAGGGATAGGGAGCAAGGGGGTGGGGGGAAGCAAGGATAACAAAACTTCAAATTAAACACTTAAAATCTATTGTAAACCTGAAACAGGAGAGAGAGAAAAGTTGGAGTAACTTTGACCCCTTCTCTTGAAGAAACTGCAGCTAGGACACCATGTTTATTTCTGTTAAGAATAGAGCTAGTTGCAGTAATTTCACTTGCTGGTTTTGAGGATGGGACTCTTCAAACTCTTCACATCAGAGGAAATATCTCAGGTTTCTTACCAACATAGAATTCTGGGATGTTGAGCACTTTCCTCCTGCGAATCATGTCTTTCCTCTCTATGAAAAACTTGAAAGGATCTGCTCTCTGTCTTGGAGGGATGAACTCTGGGCTCAGAAACCTGCGAGACAGAGACAACACTTACTTCACATAGTACACACATGTTTGTAATATGTGTGAGTGTCAGTGATGTCGTTCAAAGTTTCCTACTTCCTTAGAGATGCTTCAGTCTGTGTTTTGTCTATGATGACAGGTTTAGGTGGAGGAGTAAATTTCGGCGGCTGCTCGGCATTAAGACGACACAGCGATGTGGACAAGAACCCTGAGAACAAATAAGAAACAACACATGAATCATTGGTGATCGATGCAGGCAACACGTAACGTATAAGGCTGAATTTGTTAGCTAAGGGTATGTTAGCTACGTTAGCTTATATTTAGATGTACCTTATAAAAAACGACAATATCTAGAATCATAACAGCAAGCTGGGAAGTAAAACCGATAACAAATAGTTTGTTCGGTTTACTTACGTTCATTTTGGAGTTGGTGGTTTCGTAGTAACCTCAAGGAAAACATAAATTTGTCAAGTCCCTTCACGCAGGCTGCCATGGCTGACCTTCTGTGGCCATATGGGAGCGTGTACGGAAGCTGCGTAGGGCAAACGTGATAGAAACGCGGTTTTACCCGCATCTGCAATGCAGTCAAGTGTCCACGAGATGGCGTAACTGTGTCGTGAATCATAATCAGCCTTACTGGCCATTTATGATTCACAGTCCACATACATGAACACGAGTCCCCCCCCCTCTTTGATTCACTTGAACCAATTCTAAAAAAAATAATGTATTTACAAGTTAAGTGTTAAAGGGTAGGCACTGCAAATTGTGCATGAATGAATGATTATTTGAATGCATTCATATGTGTTGTACAATATTTAAAAAAACATGCAAAAAGATGTATTTATTACATGATGAAATTCATTGTTATTGTTTAATTTAAACTGCATTATGTTTTTTAAGGATGTTACACAAAGTTGTAGCTATTTTAAGTTGTTACAAACTTACCAGAATTGTACACTTATAATAGCCTCTAGTCAAATTCTTTCAATACCTGTTTTGATGCCATGGCACACTGTCTACATTGCGCGCATGTGTTGCCAATACTTTATTTTTAGTTAACCTTTATTTAACCAGGAAAAAGTCTCATTGAGATTAAAAATCTCTTTTACAAGAGCGTCCTGGCCAAGACAGGCAGCGGCACAATTACAGGGTTTCAGACATAAAACACTTGACAACAATGAACATAAATACAGGAATCACAAAAAAGAACCATTCATCAGAATCTGTCATAAGTTATCAGCAACAAAGCGATCAAAAAGGGGCAGTACGAGTTAGTTAAAACATCTGCAGTCAGATATTTCTGCCTCCAGATCATTAAGACGACCTTTAAAAAACATTCAAGGAAACCAGCGCCCGAAGATTTAAAGTATCTTGCAACCGATTCCAAGAAGAGGGAGCAGCATACTTGAACGCCCTTTTTCCTAATTCGGTACGGGCTTTAGGGATGGTTAGAAGGTGTAAATCCTGCGAGCGAAGATTGCAACTTCCATTACTTTTTTGAAGTATATACAGTACTTGTGTAATTAAGACAGTGTGCAGGAGTTTGCTTGCAGTTTTTGATGGAGTCAATCTTCTCTTAGACCATTCTTGTAAAAAAAAAGACAAAGTTAAAACATTTAGTTGCCTACTTTCTGATAGTGTTGATCAGTAAATTTTAAAATGCATAGTATCAGTAATTTCTGAAGGAGAACATTTTTAACAATCTTAATTGAAGGGGTTTTTTGTGTAATGGATGTGTGGGCCCCTCTTTTCACAGGGCCCAGAAATCCATGGTGACGCCCCCTGACTATAAGTGAAAGTCCATGATGACATGTAGCCTCTATGTTAAACAACATACATGATTTGACCCTCATTTGGATGAGGATGCCACTCTGCTCTTATCAGTACCAACCCCCGAAATGCCATTATCCAATTAAATGAAATCTAATGAAATCAGAGTTCCTCAACTTGTTGCGTTAGAGTCATGAACCTGACCGTTGCCTTCAATATTCTTTCATCATGAGACATTCTGTTCATGATGTTTTTTGAATAAGTGAGCTTCTCACAATATAGAGAACATGTTTTAGATCGCCCATAATATGGAGTTTATGATGGTATTGATATAAGTTTATCGATTGATAATGATAATAGGATCTTCTATTAGTTCTATTCGGTGGTTTTAAACTAAATGAAATAGGCTATCAAAAGTTTTTTTTTTTTTTTTTTAACCAGTTGACAGTTTTTAGTTCTTATAGGCTACTGTGTTGTAAACCTACATATAAAATATTGACTTTCTTATTCGTGTGATGAATACAAACTTGAGCACTGCTCGCTAGTGCATCTGAAATGCAATGGAAATATTAAAAGACGTAGGAAACAATTAGGCTATGGTTACGCAGAACAGCATGGCTCCTGGAGAAGTTGAGACAGCATGTAGACCTACTTAAGTCATTTTCAACATACAACATAATATAGAAAGTTGTTTTGGGGGGGGGGTTTATTTGCCCCCCTGCGTCTGCCTGGTAAAAGCCTAACTCAGGGTCTTTGAGACCATGCAGGGCAGCGGCGGTATCCCAGGTGGGCTGCCTGCTTCCTCAACACAACACAACACGCAGATAGCAGCGCTCTCTCATAGAGCAGCAGCAGTGCACTGCTCCAGTGTGGAGGAACCTCGACCCCCGGGCTCTCACAGCGGCGTGCTGCTTTGTGGTAGGAGGATGAGGGGAGAAGAGTAGAAACATGGGAGCTAACATCTCCTGAAACCCAATGCTGCCGCTTCTGTTGGACTTTCTAATGCTCCGGAGAGAGCCCAAAACTTCGAGGTTTCAAGGATGTTCTTCTCAGATGGGACTCTCTCAGCCGTCACTTATGCGCTCCTGTTGGGAATAACGTGTCTGTCCGTGCTCTGCGACTGCACCAAGGGGTCTTCAGATTTTTCAGGTTGGTTTGTTCTTATCGTTTTCTTGTTTTTTTTTTTTTGCAGTACTAGTGTGTAAGCTTTCCCCAAGCTTTTAAAAATCCAACATAGCTCAGGGGAACCAGCACTTCTTTTTTCTAATTCCGCTGGTGCGTACACGCATTTCTTAACACGTGAGGAGATGGAAATGCGAGTGTGCCATAAACTTTTTGAGCACAAGTCTTAAAAAATAATCGTAGGATAGCTGAGGTGATTTTTTTTTGATTTTTTTTTGAAGTGTGTCACATCAACTTCTCCTTTCAGGACGACCCGTGCCTGTGACGTGCTCCAGCATGCACCGCTCAAATGTGTGCTCCATAAACCGTCTGGAAGACAACTTAAAGACGCGGAAAAGACCCGTATTGTGCTTATCTGTTGGCCAATTCTGACACAGTTCGCGAAGAGTGACCCACATAGGGCACTTCAAACAACCTGCTTCTGCTTTACTAAAGCCATTTGCACTGCGATAGGGATTATGAGTTGGTTTATCAACTGCTAGACATATCCCATTGATGCACTTGAGATAAGGGGGGCAATGTGGTTAATGTGTCACTAGATGGAAGCTATTGTCTTGACCCGTGCTGTCATTACTTAAGATTTACAACTATAGAGAATAAAGGAACTATAGAGCAGTATTTTATGATTTGCGGTGATTCATTAAAGGTATAGGCTACATCCGTGCCTGCAACCTGCCAATTACCCCTATAGGTTTATGTGCAGTCCTGTGTGACTGATTCTGTAGGGCAGGGCTCATGTACCTGTCCACCAAAGGCAGCACATTACTTAAACTAATGAGTTATTCTGTGTTACATTGTGGGCTGTTGAGCAGTGGTGAGCCCAAGGCGAGCCTGCAGGTTTTGTTTACAGTGCCATAAAACAGGAAGGAAGCTTTGTGTCGGTGTTAATTGGCCTCTAATGGGTCTAATGGTTGGAAACGAGCAAGCTAACACTGTGGGGAAAGGTGCTAAAGAGCAGATGTATGTTACATGCTCCTGTGTGTGTATGTGTGTAACTGTGTGTGCAATGTGTCCAACCTAATGGGCTGCTAAAGATCCTGGTGCAGTGAAGGCTGTTAACAAGGTTCATTTGAGTAATTGCCACGCATGTTCTGTGGTTGTTGGTTTTTTTTTGGACATAAATACTTTGTCACAGTACATCAAATTGTGGTTAATTAAGCAAAAAGATACAGGATCCGGTGCCAGGTTTCTGCTGCTTGGGATAGGTTTACTCAAATGCTGTATTAGAGAGGACTTAGCCTAATTTGTTTAAAAATGTGGTGCAAAATTCTTCTGAGAGTTTACCCCTGGACTTTTAGGGAGCATATTGTTCACTTGGCTCCTTAGCAGGAAACAAGGAGCAAATCTTTGAGATTTCTAACTATTGCTTCTACCCTTCAGAAAAGATTGATTTTAAAACCTACACGTTTCAGCACTGTGGATGTGAAAAATATGGCTATTGTTGTTATGAGATGAGATGAGATGAGATTCAACTTTATTGTCATTACACATATACAAGTATAGAGTAACGAAATGAGGTTTGGCATCTCACCAGAAGTGCAAATAAGCAGTTATATGGAATGGCTCAGTGTAAAAGAGCTGAGTCCAAGAGACAAGCTATGCTAACATTAGCAGTATCTCAGCGAGCGAACTCTCCTGTATGCTAGAGAAAACACTGATTTCTATCATGCAACTGCTTTTATTTGTGATTTCAGTGACTTAATACAGCTTTAAAATGCTAACTTTCTTGCTAGCATTATGTCCTCTGCTCATAGGCCTACTGCATTAGCCTATTGTTTTTTTTCTAACGTAACATGATAATTTAGCCTACCATGAATTAGTTCTTCTTTGATGCTCTTAAACAAAAACTATCGAAGACAGAAATGATTTCTTAGCTGAACTTGTAATTTCATTGATTATCAGAATGATGCTACTTGCAAATCCTTACCACGTTCGATACAGTATCAGAGGAACTTCCTGTAGCGTTATTGAAACCTCTCTAATGGGGCTCGTGTTTGATGAACATGCTCCTGAGATCAGGTTGTTATCCAGAAGGAATGCCAGCGTTGGGGGTCTCAAGGTGCAGTTCTGTTTTGTTGCTTTTTACAGAAGTGCTGAGCAGGCATCCCTGTGAATGAAAAGATGAGAAAGGGGGCTGTGTCAGAATACCACAGGGACAAAGACCTCCTTCAGTCCTCACATTCTTGACCAGCTGGAGTATCCCTGGAGACTGGAGAGAGCGAGAGAGAGAGACAGAGGGGTTTGATTGACAGGTGGTGCCAAGGTGGAGGGTGACAGAAGTGGTGGCTTTAGATCAAACATCTGTCAGTCAGAAGGCTGGAATTGTGATGTTGGACAATCTGGTCACATCAGTGAAGATCCTCCACAGTGGTGAAGGAACCAACTGTTGATTTCAAGAGAAATATTAATGGCAGAACAATATTTTATAATTTCTCATGTGTTTATTTTTTATTTTTTATTGCATGTGTAGTGTCACATTTGGGGCATTTTGACATCTGGAGTAATGTCAGTATCAAATTTCATTGCTGCAAGGAAAACAAACAAAGTTGGTAGGTAATTTAATTGTGTGTCATCCCCTGTCATCATCCTCTATTATAAAGCTGCTTCAACAGCTAATTAGAGGTATGGAGTGAGCTGAGCAACACTTAAAAGCCCCCAGGCTAAGAAAGCTAGCAAGGCAGCTAATTCATGCTATTTGTTTTGCAGGCTGTCAGTACTTTTCTGTGGTTCTTCTTCACAGAACTTAGACACAAACTTAATGTGTCCTCTCCTGCATAAGCTTTGGATAGCTCTTCTGATGACTGTTCGTTACAGACATTGGTAATGGTTTTTAGGAAATGGGATGTAAAGTCCCACTGTTTTCTCACATTTTACAGACCAAATGAGTAAGTAAGAAGCTGAAATCTTATTGTATTATTATTGCTTATCTGTCTTCTGGATGCAGATGTTACCTGGCAAACTCTCTGACACTGCTGACGGGTTACAGTGAAGCAACTTTTCTTTTCTTTCTCTGCAATAAAAACCCCAAAGGCAAAACAAAACCCCTATTTAACCTCAGTCAATGGGATGTGAGGCTGTTGAGGGGCCATGGGGTCAACTGAGGTCAAACCATAGGGACTGTGAGTGTGTGGTTAGGGGGAGTTATCATCCATCTTGTTCTATGTTCCCCTTTGTTCCCCTCATCACACGTGTTGAACGCTGTGGGGTAAGGTTGAATGAAAGTCAACACAACAACAGTTTTAGGTCATGAATTCCAACTGAGTTCAAAAGGAGGATTGAGATGTTTATGTATGAGCTTTTTAATTCAACACGTCCCTATGTTTTACATTTATGTCTCCTTCAGATTCTAAATTGAGGAAATCATTTGAACCAAATGACAATTTGAACTGCAGGCTCAGTGTTGCTGTTTAAACGGTTTGCAGTCAGTGTAAAATGTTGAATAGGCTGAACATCCAAATAACTCATGGAGAGAAATGGAAAGTTGTGATCAGTTTAATCACGATTTGAATAGTCATTATCATCTCTTAAACTATGTCTTTACAGAACTACTTCACAAACTGTGTTTTGTTTATCTGTAGATTTTACCATTGTTAAGAACCTTGTCATTTGTTGTGTACATTTTGATTCTTCCATTATCTGACGGACCAATTCTTGTTTTAACGTTTCATACAAATATATTGGTCAGCCGCTCTGCCGCCATGTTTGTTTTCCCCTGTTGGCCAGGAACAAGTCTCCTTTTAAAGTCAAAAGATGAAGATACTGTAGTTGTTTGAATTCATGTGTAGAAAAAAGGAACCCAAAGGTGTCTGCCAACCCTTTGATAATGTGTTGAAGAAGTTTTCAACATCAAAGCTGTCAGCAACTTTTTTGATGAACTATGAACCAATGGCAACACTTGATGTTATAAATTACTACATTTCCTTGTATTTTTAACTAATGGAGGCAATGCATTATACACTTCATTGATGGAAACTATGGTCGTGGAAAGCAGACAAATGGAAGCTCATGTTTTTTTTCTCAGGAAGCTGCGTCTAATCCAACTCCAGATTTTCATCCAACTTGATTCAGGTCAGATCAATTAAAACCTTTTATTTTTGCAGTGGGCAGGTTTTGTTGCCATTGGGGCATTCTTTGTGAAACAAGCAAGATGGCATCCACTTATGAAGAACTCTTGGAATCCACCATGGCTTTACCTTTAGAAGGCAAGGGCTGATAATTTACATAACCTTCAAATGGAAAGTCTTGCCTATACATCATGTCATGTCAAATGTCTACTTGTTATATTGACCTAGAAGCCATAGCATTTGGGAACTACCTAGCCTAGCAGCTAAGACACATATCTGTTGAGATTGGTTGTAGTATCCAGAGGTATTTTCAGCAGTTGAGATCATTTTGAAGTCAAAAACTGAGCAGTGCACAACTGGATGGTCTTTTGTTGCCTATGCTATTACCCCATGGGCCACTGGATTAGTATACTCCTTACTGCATACCCCCACACTTCCACAGAAACACACCCCTTCACCTATAACTGAGTGCTGCTCCAGGGTCCTCAAATCATAATCCTCACAGAATTTTGGAGTGGCCAGGGGTAAGGGTAGCACGCTGAGTCCCCAGCTCTCCTCCATGAGCCCCCTTCCCCCCCCGTCTAGTTCCCCTGCCTTCTTGCCCCTCCACCAACTTGCAGCCTCTGCTCCTCCCCAGGGCTTGCCTGATCACTGTTTCTGTGTGCACCAGGTGAGCTCTGTCTAAACAAATCCTGCCTCCCTCTTGTTTTGTCTACTGCGGTGGAGGCAGGCGGCAAGGCGGACAGCGAGGGCCTGGCATAAGGCTGCTTTTCTCTCTGGCTGAATAGAGGGGGGGGTGTTGCTTTTCAAGGAACCGTTGTTGTGTATAAGTTCTCAAAGGAGTGAATTGTCAAGAGATTTTTGATTTATGGCATCATGCTGTCAAAACACAGAGCTGTTGGT